GGGAAGGGAGAAAGGGAGGGGGAAATGGTGACTCAGAAAGGAAGGAGGAGAGGGACAAGGAGAAGAAGGACAGAGAGAGAGGGGGGGGGGAGAAAGAGAGAGATACGGGAATGAGGGCGAAAAAGAGCGAGAGACAAATTAAGGTAACACTTTTGCCTCTGTATTGCAATTATTATCACCATTATTTTTTTATTCTTGTTTGTTAGTATCGTTTACTTTAGTAAGAACAACACTAACTAACACTAGCTGACCCTACTTGTTAAATCCCACATGGGCAGAAAGAAAAGAAAAGTGTCTCTCTCTCTCTCTCTCTCTCTCTCTCTCTCTCTCTCTCTCTCTCTCTCTCTCTCTCTCTCTATATATATATATATATATATATATATATATATATATATATATATATATATATATATATATATAAATATATATATATATATATATATAAATATATATATATATATATATATATATATATATATATATATATATACGTATATATATATATACACATATATATGTGTGTGTGTGTGTGTGTATGTATGTATGTATGTATGTATGTATGTATGTATGTATGTATGCATGTATGTATGTATAACACAAAAAAGCACTATACATTCATACCTAGATGCCCTTCACTAGTAGTTTCAATATGAGAAAAGTAGTAATATCAGTGAGTCCCGTCCCCTATTAACTGTTCAAACTGATGTACATTTTTTGGCACAAACAACGTTATTAGGGAGATTGTTCCACGTTTCAATAGTTCTGTTTGGAAAACTGAACTTTTTGACATCCTTATCGCCTCTTTTCACTTTTAAATGTTTCTACGTTGTCTCCTACTTCTTGTAATTGTAAAGTTATCTTTATCAAATTTCTCTCATCCCGTAACAGAGTTATATAGCATTATAATGCCGCTTCTTGGTGCCCATCTTGTGGCTGCTCATGGAACTCTTCCCAGTCAGTATCCTTTATTTAAGTGTGGACTCCATGCCAATCCAATATGCTCAAGAGTAAGTCTCATAAAGGCTGTAATGATCTCCTGCAATATCTTCGTTCACATATATGAATGCCCTCTTCATGTTTGCAATTCTTCCTTGCATCTGGTGGCCTCTGTTTCATAGGGGAGGCAGTATTTCATGTCATTTATCTAGTCCTTATGCTTTATGTAAATATCAGATCAGGGCTGACGATCTGTCTAGCCCTCTGATACTGATATGTTCTGTCACATAAAAAAAAGACAATACTCATTTATGATTTCTGGTAATCTTGCATTCCACGAACCTGGCTGTGGTCTTGGATCGAAACTTTGCCAGTCAATTTGTGCTATTAAATCCCCTGTTACAAGAAATTCTTTTGAACTTGTTTTCGAAAGTTGTATCACTTCTTACGGGCTCTTTAGCGTTTCTGGAATTAGTTCTCGGTAATTTCCCCGCAGTCATGACGAAGTATGAGGCGGCATGTACACTGTGGTTATTCTCATGTCTACCTCATTTGTTTCTAACTCCGTTGCCTTTAGTTCCACCTTGGAGTATTTTTTAATCGTTAAATCCTTTGTAGTGATTCCTCTTCTGTGTGTGTGTGCTTGCTTGTATGTTTGTGAAAGCATGTTTGTTGTAAGTATGCACGTGTGTTTAAGTTATTAGAACAAAAGAAAACAATCTAGGTCAGAGTAGACGTTTTATGCAAAAGTTTGACGTGTTTGCAACTAAACTTACTCTTGCTTTGATGTTTAATGCAAAAGTTGGTAGGCCTTTGTCCATGAAGTTCGTGAAGAGATGCAAAGATTGGAGAGAAAATATCGTTTTTGTTATTATTACTTTGCTTTATGAAGCGAAATATGGAAAGGTAATGACAAAGGAAACTTGCGAAAGGAAGAGCAGAAAAGGAGAAGATAATAATGTTACGACACAAGGAATTAGTGATGATGAGGATTATTGTAGATTGATCATGATCAAGTTTTTTTCTTTCATACGAAAATTTGTATTAATGATAATGATTATAACACGCGCACGCACGCACACACACACACACACACACACACACACACACACACACACACACACACACACACACACACACACACACACACACACACACACACACACATTATAGGATATCACGAAGAAAATGAAAAGCCAAACGAGATATAAAATCGATGAATCCTTTTGGAAGAAGAATAACTGGGGTTGGTAAGGATCAAACGTCATCTGATAGCCGAGTTAATATATCCATTTTGCGATACTCGATAATGAGAATTATTTACCGGCTTCTGATGAGGGATGATGAGGGCGGTAAATGCAGTGTGGTGATGGGGCCGTAGCGTGACCTCTTTATAAGGACTAGCGAGGCAAAGACCCATATATATGTATATCTATCTATCTGTGTGTGTGTGTGTGTGTGTGTGTGTGTGTGTGTGTGTGTCTGTCTGTCTGTGTGTGTGTGTATGTGATTGCCACAATGATGATATTAAAACTAACACATGAAAGTGTTTATTGCAACCCGAATTTGTTTCCTCACACGAGAGAACCGAGCGAAGCCGAGATGCGACTGAGTTCCGCGAAGTCAGATTTGTCGAGATAGTCGGAAGTTGAAGGCACTAATCAAGTTAATTATCAGCCGACTAGAATATCTCAAAAAAAGACTGCAGGAGAGGCATGACGTCTGGAACAGGCATGAGAAATGAGATGCAAAGTCTTCAGGGAGTGATGAAGGAGAGGAATATAGGGAAAAGAGTAGAGGTGACGTGTTTGTTATTTATCTTTCTCCTCTTGCTTCTTCTTCTCCTCTCTCTCTCTCTCTCTCTCTCTCTCTCTCTCTCTCTCTCTCTCTCTCTCTCTCTCTCTCTCTCTCTCTCTCTCTCTCTGTCACTCACTCTCTCACTCTCTCTCTCTTTCTCTCTCTCCCTC